GCGAAAAAAAAAATATATTTTTTATATATTTTCAGTTTTACTTTTTTCATCTTTCGGTTTATAGGTTCGAAATTTTACAAGTTCTAAAGTTATGAGTTTGGAGGTTTATGTGTTTGGAAGTTTACGAGTTTAGAAATTATAAAGTTTACGAGTTTTTTCGGAAGTTTATGAAATTTGTGGGTTCGAAAGGTTGTTGGTTCGAAAATTTATGAATTCATGTTTATTGTATCTAAATTATTTATGAATACTCTTGAGAAATTATTTTCCTTAATTTGCGTACCAAACACCGAAAAATGAATAAGATTATTATTTTTTTTCTAAGAAAATATTTTCCGTTACACCAAACACGCCCTAACTTGCTTACTTTTTTTTTCTTAATGGAGGTCCCCAGCTAGGCCATGGCCTTCTTGACCCCCATTGATCCCGTCTAGGTAAATTAAGTATCTAACTTGCTTTCTGAAAATCCTATAGATGATATATAGGAGATATATTATGTCAGTGCTTTTAGCAGGACAGATTTGATTTCAGATCATTATCCAATGATTAAAAAAGATAGATTTTTAGTTTATCAGCATTATCATTATCATAGAATTTGCAGCATATGGCTAAGTAGTGCTATCATCATCTTATAAGTTAGAAGCATATGGCTCCTATCTATTGGAAAGTTCAGTGTATATGGATTACTTATTAATTAACCACAGATTGATTATATATCGTGATGGATGCACATTAATATTTTCTATTGTTGGTGACCGGAGACCGATGCAGAAGTTGTGGGAAAATTCAATATTTTTTGTTTAAACAATGTATTTATATTAAAAAATTCATTAAATATGTACACACATTAAATTCAAATCAAACTCATTAGCACTTGAATTCATAGTTTTAAATTTTAAAACCTATGAAATTGAAATTATGGTTCCGCGGTGATTGTACTTAACGAACTTAGATGACCTTAAGAAAATTAGGAAATGCATGCAAATCTAGAACCAAAAATTTTAAAAGAAGCATGAAGATTCGCAAATCAGTAAGACGGGCACATAAATAATAGAATAAAGGCATCATATTATTATTAAGTAGTTTGTAGTGCTGGTGGAAAGGTTGCCCAAGAGTAAATAATTAATTATGCATATATTAAATAAATGTTAATTTCTGAACGTGATTTTTATTTCAATGAATTGACAAATTTGACTGTAGTTCGATCGTTTTTAAAACCATTATTTCACCACTTTGTTTTCATCTAAGACTATTTTAGGTACCGTTGTGAATAAATGTTTCAATCTTTAGTGTGTTTTGGAGATTAAACCCAAGAACTGACTGTGAGATTTGAGTCGGTATGATTTGATTCGTCTTCTTCTACTGAGTGCTCGAGGGGATAGAAAGAGATTTGTGCCGAACTATAAATTTATTTTTTATGTAACGTTTTCCACATTATTTCAAAAATAAGTGGAGTATTTGTTTGTGCAAGCTATCCCACTAAAAAAGTGGGAAATTTTGAAGTATTTAATTGCTTTTCTGTGGATTATAAGCCAATAAACCTGTACTAAGCAGCTCTTGTGATTGTTGTTTTCTCTTTTTAAATTTTAAACGCAGAATTTATCCACCAGCTATGATTTCAGTCAAACTGGTAAAGCTGACGATAAGTTCATTAATAATTGTAGAAAGGTCTGTTAGTCCTCATCATCTTCCTTTTAAACGTCCCCTTGCATTATTATTCTTTTTCTTTATCAGAGGGGTTGCTGTGATGGTAAGCAACCTTCACTTCTAACTAAGAGTTTGTGAGTTATAGTCATCCCAAGAGCAAGGTGGGGAGTTCTTGGAGGGAAGGATGCCGAGGATTTATTGGAAACAGCCTCTCTACCTCATGGTAGGGATAAGATCTGCGTACACACTACCCTCCCCAGACCCTACTAGTGAGATTATACTGGGTTGTTGTTGTTATTGTTGTTTATCCTTGTACATGTTTAATTCACAGGATAAGAAAACAAGTATGAAAAGCTTAAAGATTTAAAATATATACACACCAACAGTGTAAAAAAAAATTTCATTGTCAGTGCAGTTAGCAGGTTCTCACACTACTTTTCACATAATCATGTTGGGCTTGATATTTAAGAGTTACCTATTATTGTAAACACCGGGGCGGAGGTAGCGCACGAGCTACAGGTTCCGACGAACCCATTAGCTTTTGTTCAAACCTTATATTTGTCTTAAGTGATTTGTTGAATATATATAAAGTATTAATTTAGAACCCACAAACTTAAACGATCTAGAATCTTGAACTCATAAATTTCAAATCCTGGCTCCGGCTCTGAACAGACATATACGCTATCAGTGCACGAAACTATAAGCAAAAAAAGGAGATAGTATTATGTCGAAATGGGTATTTAGGCTGTCTTTTTTTGGTCCTTTTCTTCCATAAGAATGTACATTCAAGTTGTCTATATAGACTTTTATAAGCGGTGTCATCATTTGAAGAAGTGAACAAATAAATAAATTACTATAACGACAAGAAGCGTCATTTTTTTTTATATTTATACTCAATATTTTTATTTTTCTTATTATTTATACGTACATATTTACAAAAACAATTGACAAAACGGTGTCACGTGACACCACTTGAGATAAGGTGCATACGCCCCTGTATACAGATCAAGATTCTTCACATTTCTACAGATAAAATTAAACAGTACTATGGATTTAACTATTGTCCCCAGAGGTAATGTGAACCTTCCAACGTAGTAACAATGGCGGATCCAGGATTTTGTGCAAGCGGGTTCAATTTTAGAAGTACATAACTTTAGTCGTAAAATAATAGTTGTCCAGTGGGTTCAAATAAAATATTTATACAAAATTTATACAGTTTTAATTCTAATTTTTATATATATACATTATTATTTTTTGGCGAAGCGGGTTCAGTTGAACCCGCTAGCCACCACCTGGGTCCGCCACTGCGTAGTAATAGTATTTTCTTGGGAGCAGAGGCGGAATCAGGATTTAAACTCTATGAGTTCTGAATTATAGGATAGCGACGTCAAGTGTTAGCATCAGAATTCTGAATTTAAGTTTTGTACATATTTAGTGAATTTATTTTATACAAATACAAGGTTTGAACTTTGGACTAAAGCTAGTAGGATCGGCCAAACCCGAAGCTAGAAGCTTGGGAGGTCTATGGAGGATAACAAAAACATAGGTTTGAGCTGCAAAAGTACATATGATGCTCCATTCTGCTTTGTTCATATGACCAACTTGGAATCCAATCCAATAATGTTGTGTCATTTGAAGAGTATGCCAAAGAATCAGCAGAGGAACAATCTCCTTTTCCAGAAAAGGAGTCATCACTATGAGAAGAAGGGACTGTGTCACTTTTCAAAGTTGATGATTGTTGTTCTGAATTACTTGTGTTACTGCCAAAGGATTCTGTCACATGAAACCAATAATTTGTGAGAAACGGCACGGGAAGGGAACAGACATTAACTTATATAAACTAATTGCGTGAAAGAACTTTTACACTATCAGATAACCTAAAGGATAGTTACAGGTAATTAACTGTTCATAAATAAGTGGAACTAGCTTAAATGCTTGAAAAAATAAAGCAGGCAATCCATAATAATAACATGTGAAGTACACTGATAGTATAAAAGTTTTTTATAGTGCAGTATATAAAAGTTAAAGCAGAATCTTGTAGAGTTGTAGTACACCTTGTTTGTATGTTAGTGCTTTCTTTCTTAAATGACTTTTCCAGTAGTTCTTGATTTCGTTATCAGTTCTTCCTGGCAATTGTTCAGCTATCTTTGACCACCTGTAAATTTAGTAAAAAGAATTAAGTAAACAAGTGAAACAATCTTGGCCTGGAAACAGGAAAAGATTCTTTCGGCGTTTGGATAGCAGAAAGACAATTAATTTGTTGTAAAGCATTAAAAATTCTTATGAAGAAGGAAAAAGCTTTACTTGTTTCCAAACTGTTTCTGAAGTTGGATTATCAGATGTTCTTCACCTGCAGTAATATGACCGTGCTTTAGATTGGGACGGAGATAGTTCAACCATCGCAATCTGCAGCTTTTCCCACTCCTCCTCAGCCCTGCATTAAAGCATATTCCAACACAGTTATTTAATGCTTCGGGTGTGTTTGGTACAACAGAAGTAATATTTCAGGAAAATGTTTTCATGAGTTAGTCATCTTTTAGTAGTGTATGGTTACCAGAAAATGTTTCTTATCAAATGACTTTCGTCATACCAAGCACACATACGTTTCAGTTTAAAGTTTTAACATTTCGGCATAGCCAAATTATACCTGAAGCCTTTGCTAACGCATCCCAACGACGTTCTCCTAACATGGCTATAATCATAACCAGACTCTCATCTTCCTCTTCAAGCCATTGCCCTCTCCGCAGTTCGTCTTGGTGCATGGTTAGTTTGGAAGCTATTTATGGTTGCCACAACCTAAGAAGGTTACCCTCCTTATATAGGGATGCCGAGGTGGCAAATTATATGATGGATAAAAAGAGAAAAAGAGTACCAGAAGATCTTACCTGGCAAAGTAGGTGGAAAACATCAGGTTATAATGGAATCTGTGGTCAGCTTAGATGCATTCATCTTCTCAATTAAGGCTTTCATTGGTCATCAATGGATATTTCAATTTTTCATATCTAAAGGATGGAGTTGTATCTCCCTTTTTACATCACCACTTTTGGTACAGTACACTAAGGTTGTCTGCTACAGAAGCTCTTTAACACTATTCTGTTTGCATAAAAGATTTTGTCTCATTCATCACAATAATATAAACCGTAAGAACTTTAATTAGGCATGTGCTTACATAGAAAAATCAAGATAAGCATGAGGTTTTGGTGCAGAGTAAAATCCAATATATGCATCTCTTGTCGGGGAGACTAAATCTTATTGTGCTTCACAGCTTTTTGTTTGAATTGAAACACTAAGACAAGTTGAATATTACCAATACTGTGAAAACTGCTCACTTTGTAAGACATGTAAAGACGGCCCCCAGCTTTCAAAAAAGATGGAAGGCTTAGATCACCTTAGCCTGAAATGTATCACTCTCTGCTTAAATTGCTTTTCAGTTCTTTTTTACTTTAACGGAAGTGTCAGGCACGTTAACCATTCAATCGGACATCTGCTACCTCCAACCAGCAGATATTTCGGCAGTCTATCAAAATAATAGAAATTGAATGTTGTCTTCTATGAATTTCACTACCCACTTCATTGACCACTAGGTTGCACCTACCAAGGCTCAATTGTACTTATATTCTCTCCTTGCAGGTTCCGAGGAAGAACCGCACCCCAAGGAGTGTGATGTATACAACCTACCCTAATGTAAGCATTAATGACTGAATCCACAGTTTGAACCCGTGACTTATAGGTCACACGAAAACAACTTTATCATTGCTCCAAGGTTCCCCTTCTCAACTCTACCACTATCATCACCTTATTTGAAAGTCAATATATGATAAAAGTAAGGCATTCTACATAGTAGGCCTTCATTGTATATTCTTTTTTTTCCATATAAGCAAGAAAAAACCATTGTATATGCACCTTTAATTGATTCATTATCCATGATGAAAATCTGATATTTGGGAGATGTTACTGAATAGACTAAAAACATTGAGCCTGTATTAAGAAGATAGCATAGGATCATGGAATTGCCACAAAAGTACAACAAAGTTTAGCTCAAATGTACAATAAATTTCAAGTTTGGTAAAGTACAAAATAGGACCTCAAATAAGGAACATTAGATGTAGGATTAATCCAACAGATGATCTCTAGAACCCGCTTCACTAGTTTTTGACAAGTCTCAAGTAGTTGGTATAATGGTGAAATTCCAGCCACTCTGATCGAATGTACTAGCGATCAATGAAAGATTTGTTCATAAGATCAACTGCTGAATCCATGAACTGCAACCACGAAATTAGCAAACTGTCAAAAAGGTAAAATGACACTTGTACCGTATGTAACACAGTTCTCCAGCTAAAAAAGTGCATTTGTGTAATAAAAGGTCTATTTGCACATTCTTGATTATACTGTCAAATGTCTAATGAAACTTATACTAGTTAGGAGGAAGGGATGAGCAGCATCGTCTAATTTGCTAATTAGCCAAATCCTCCAATGAATGCATTTATAATAACTACACTCATCATGTTGATTATAGTTTTCACATGTCACAGAAAATGAAACTATCTACTCCACCTTCAGAGATCAACATACTTTTTATCACCTTCTGTAAAGGTTGATCCTTCAGGAAAAGTTATTAAAGAAAGGCAAATAGGTGTCACACGCTGAGTAAAAATATTTACTGGTTAATTACCATCAGACAATCTTATTTGACTACGAAAACCAATGTACATACACATGCACTCGGTTTATGTGTATGTGTATTATGTCAATGAGCACTAATATCCATCATTCTTCGTTACAAATGAGTGATAGCACCTACTAACCTTTCTGTTAATATTCCCACTTTAAACAATACTGGTCTAGAGTCCAAAAGAGCAAATATACTTCAGAAAGCATGCTAACTTCCTAGAGAGTTTATGAGAAGGAATATACATCTGTTTTAATGTCAATCAATCAATAACGGAACCAATTAACTGCTTTGCTTTCACAAGATCTAAACCTGTCACAAGATTCGTCTCAATAGCATTCTACTTTAGATACTTGGAATGCTAAACTAGACAAAGTGAAAATTTACCTTCCCAACTGACTTTAGTTCTCGCCCAACAGGTTCAATAAATTTTAAATCAACTTCAATGGGCCATACCTGCAGGCAAATAGAAAGTAGGAAAGGAGCATGAAACACTGAGCGCTAGGACTTAAATGAAGAGGCACAAGAGAAAAGCCAAAAGATAATTGAGATTAAACATATTTAGCACATAGAGCATACTCCCATAAGTATTTAACAAGTACTTTTCATGTGAGCTCCCCGCTCCTACAAGACATAAAGGAAATCGAATCTCATTTCCTTCTTTACATGTACTGATATGCAACATCGTCATTCCCTTTCCCTAAAAGTGCAAAGTGGTTTTGAGCCGACCATCAGTTCAATCTTAACACAAATACGGCTGCTAGAACTTTCAAATGCTAATTGCTCGGAAGATTTCAGCATGACCAATTTAAATCCCCACAGCAGAGTAGTTTTATAATTTAAAAGATGCAACCATCAGACTACATAGTAATGCTTGAACTCGGAGAACCTAAATTAAACTAACAATGAAAAGCACTGGACCTGCTTAATGAGCTAAATAACATCACCAAAAGCATTTTCTTTTTTGCTTTCCTTTTTCTTCTTTTAACACTTAAATGTATGAAATTGAAGAGACCACTATGAACAGTCAAATTCTAATTAATTATGCCCTACAAGCTAGCGATAACTACAACTGGACTACAATCGCAAGCTTACATTAAACAAATCACCAGTCCGACATACAAGCTAGGTTTCCTCATTCAGAATTCTACTTATATTACATGACAACAGGCTAAGCAGTGCAGCATCAGACTGAACTAATTAAACAGAGCAGTCATATAATGGCCAAAACAAGAAATAAAAAGGAAAATGAACATCCATAAAATTATAAGGAAAAAGTCAAGACAGAATTTACCATCTTTAGACTATCAATTCTATCACATTCTCCAACAAACTCATAGTTCTAGAAGAGAATAGGCTCTAATGGCAAGAAAACTCTAATCTTTGAAAATTGTCATTGTCGTCTTAAACACGCATTAAATAAAGAAAAAAAAACAAGTTAATTTGTGGAAACAAATAGAAGCACCTTAAACCCCAGAAGCTTAATAGGTGGATTCTGTCCAGGAACAATGCAATCAGGACCTGCTGCTTCTACTATTGCCTCCGTGCCCAATCCGCTTCCAATTGGATCTGGGTGCTGCAATTCCCACCCAAACAAACTTACACCTTTTGAAGTAAATTCCCTAGCCTCTCACCATCCCATCCCCACACCCCCAAAAAAAATGAATTAAAGAAATACCACTTCAACACTCTTTAAGTATGCACTACCATATACAAATCAGAGAAGTTTATGTGATGTTTTCGTCAGGCCAGAAGTTTAAAAAAAAAAGAATTGAAACTTGTAGTCTAAAACAAGTTATAGATATTTATGTAACTACAAAAAGTTTAAAGTGATTTTTTTTTCCTAAATATACAAAGGTGTTTTTTTTTTTTTGAACAGACATCACATAATTCGGGACAGAGAGAATAAATATGCATTCCACTTTAATTTGTAATGTTTCTAAATGAACCTTCATGATGGAGAGAACATAATCGGAATGAGGGTTTTGAGGAAGACGAAGAATATGAATTTTGGGGATTGGTCTTGCACCAGAACCAGCTGCTCTCCACGGCACATCTTTCTGTAAAGCAGCAGCAGATCCTCCTCCACCCATTTAACGATTATGGGTTTGCCTGCCAATTTCTATTGAATTCTTCTTCTATTTTGCAGTATTAGTATAAATAAATGTAGAATGGCAGTGAAGAGAAAAATGATGTGTGAATGAAGATGAATAGAGCAATGGATTAGCTATAACAAGTGGCGCTAACTGGGTTTCAGGGGAGGGCATCTGTTTTTGTCATAGTCAGATTTTTTTGAGGTTTAAAAAATAGAACTCCTCGAGTTACTGAAGTATTAATGGAAATCATATAAATGTAAGAATAATTGACAATGATAAATCAAATCGTCAGAGAAGAATGTTATGTCAATATTTTAGGATTTGTTACTTTTTTTCTTTATAAAGAGATTTTATTTCATTGTAATTGATCTCAAATTAATAAAAAAAAATTCTTCTTACTTTTCTATGCAATATTATTATTCTTCTTCTTCTTTTATTATTTTATAACGCATTATCGGCACGAGACTCAAATCAATTAAGTAGATGACGATTGTTTTAATTTGTAGATATACTATTAATTAGTTGTCTAGCATTTGAGAAATTAAACCACTCGTGAAGAGAAGATATAGGAATTTGCGTGAGGCTCTTGGGTGAATACATTGATATTCCTATACTAGGCATCTGCTTCAGTCACCAGGCTTTGAGATACGTGCATAGTGCTCAACTTGTACATAATATTGAGCATAATGATTGTCACTTATTCCATGAATTTCCTTCGGGAATAAAATCTTGACTTAAAGTAAGTATTTTACCTTATTTTTCTCCTTTAAATTCTTGATATTCTATAATTTGATTTTAAATACAATCAAAGATAATAAATTTTGATTATAACTCAAGTGGAGTTTGTAAGAAATTATAACTACCCAAAGTTATAAAATTTCTATGTCTTGCCATGATCAAATTCATGTATAATTGTGGGCACAAGAAGTGAAAACTCATCCCATTGAATTTGCTTCATTCTCGTTTCCTTAAGAGAATGTAGTAGCAATATGTAATAAGTCTGAAAGAATACAAAATTATTACCGTTAAGGTATCAATGGATGTGGACGTGGCAATAGACGAAATTATAATCGTCATCATTGTGGTAATGAAAACAATAAGGATTCTCAAAATAATCCTTCACTCTATGAAATTAATGTTTGTCGTCGATTTGACATGAGATTTCGTAAAGTACATATAGCTGACTATGGTCCAGAAGAATATGAACGGGCTAGTGGTAGTGAATATGCCACACTCACCTCTAGAAAAAGGTTTGAGATAAAATAAGAAAATAATTTTATTGTTATGGCATGAATGGTCATTGATAACATATCTATTGTGATTAAGCTAAAATATTATGGCAATGTGATTATTACAGGGCAAAAGTAATGGAAGCAACATATCTTGCCTATAATGATTTTGACTATGGCCATAATAGTATAACTTTCTCTTTGAAAGATGTATTTACCGTATGGATGTTGATAAACATGTGGTAGTACAAAATTAATTGAGAGCTCTGGAAGAGCCAATTATTACTATTTTGGAGAAATAAAATTGATTATCAATAAAGTATTGTGTCGTAGTAAGATTCAAAGAAACTTATTTAGTTTCTAAAGTATTCGCGAAAGTGGTTGTGATAACCCGATAGGTCATCTTTAAATTTAATAATTGTTTTTGTGCTCTAAAAGCCTCAAATAGCACAATTTAGCTTTTCTCGGCTTGCATGTACTGTCCGTAAATTTTTTCGGAAAGTTTTTATGTGAAAAATTAATTAAAATATAAAATAGTGCTTCAAAACTTATTTGAGTGGACTTCGATCAACGTTTTGAGCAAACAGGCCGATCAGTATTTTGACAGTTCTGGTATATCTGTATCGTGATTTGGGACTTGGGCGTATGCCCGAAATCGAATTTGGAAGTCCCTAGCTTGAGTTATTGCCATATATTAAAAATTGGAAGTTTGAAAGCTTAAAGATTCCAAGTTTGACCGCAGATTTAACTCTATTAATATCGGGGTCGGAACCCGATTATGAAAATTTGAATAGCTCTGTTATGTCATTTATGACTTGTGCACCAAATCTGAAGTCATTCCGGATTCATTTCATACGTTTCACCACGAATTTTGTAAATTGAAAAGTTTGAAACTCAAAAGTTCGAATCGAGGTGTGAATTATAATTTTGACGTTGTTTGACATTATTTGAGACCCCGAGTAAGTCCGCGTTATGTTACGGGACTGGTTGGTATAATTGGACGAGGTCCCGAGTGGCTCGGGTGAGTTTCAGACATGTTTCAGGTCATTTTTATAAATATTGGCAGGTCTGGTTCTGGTGCTTCACACCTGTGAAGCTTGGAGCGCAGGTGCGACTCCGCTTCTGCGTGAAATTTGTCGCTTCTACAACTTGACCACCAGAATGATGCTCCGCTTCTGCGGAGTAATGTTGCGCAAATGCGCATTCGCTTC